TGGTTTTCACAGGGGGACCTGTTGCCTTTCTTGTAAATCGGTATGATCACCGATTCACACCATTCGGTTGGATCCTGTTTCCTCTCCCACACTGAGCCCAGAAGTTTTGTCAACTCCTAAACCAAGGCTGAACCTGCATCCTTAAAAACGGATGGAGACAACCCGTTTGGGCCGGAGGCCTTATACCTTTTGAGATAATTTATTTTCCGGGAAACCTATATTTCTGATTTAGGACTGATGTCAACTGAGAGTATTTGCCCAGTCAAGGTGAAGGATGATAGTTCAGAAGTCGAAGGGGGCCATTTGAACTGAGCCTCGATATGTTCGGTCATCGATCAAATCGGCGTTGCTGATTGTGAATCAGTGTGCCGTTGCGTTCGTTAATTACCTCACGCCTATTTCCCTATGGCCCGCATTCCTAATTAGACGGAAAAGGTTGTGACTATTACCAATAGCCGCAGATTTCTCCATCTCTTTACACTTTTCTGCCCACCGCTTCTCTCGGTCATTCCTCAGACTCATGATGAGCTGGCGTTTGAGGGATTTGCGCTGTGGCTTCGGGAAGCAGGGTTCTCTGCGGTCGTNGCGGTCGTCCAGCAGGACAGCCGAGGTCGACGAGATCCATCGTTTATGTTTGGAGCTTGCGGCAGGGTCCAACATTGTTTTTATAGATATTTGTATAGCTTCCTTGCTGTTCTTCTAGTGTTAATTGGGCCTTTTGGTTGGCGATTGAACTGACAGGTCATCGGAGAGTTCCGCTTCGAAGGCCGATTTGCAGCAATCGCTGACACGGTATAGTGGGTACCCTTTGTCGGTGGCTTTTTTGTGGTTGTTTTTCAGACGTAAGGTGAATTTAGCAGGTAGCAAAACATGATCCGCATCCACAGGTCTTGACCAGTAAGAACGGCAGTCTCGAATCGACCTACTCCAGCGGTAAATGATGCCGATGTGGTCGATTTGGGTCCAGCACTGTGAAGAGGTTGGCGGTTTCCATTTAAAGCGGCATCGTTTCTTGTGTGAGAAGTTTGTGATTGACAGGAACAATTTGTGGTCCGCGCAGAGTTGAAGTAAGCGATCTCCGTTGTCCGTTTGGTTGGCTGGGATTGCATGTGGTTCGCCAATTAGCCCTTCTGATTCGTCCAGGGGTCCCACTTGAGCAATGAAGTCTCCGGCTTGCCCAAGCAGCTGACTTTGTGAGACTGAGAATCTTCTGGTCTCTACCCATTGACCTTCCGGGCATGATTGGATCTGCGGCTGTGAAGATCCATCCTGTGTAGCTCACAGGGTCATGGAGGCACGCAGGCCATCACAAAACGTCAAGGTGCAGTCTCGTCGTGATGGTGGAGCTTATGCACAATCACGAATTGTTGTTCTTACTCTATACTCTTACATAAGTAGCTGCATACGTGCAAGAGCCCAATTATTTTGCTGGGGAGAATTCGTGAACTGCTGCCAGCGATTGGTTGGGCTGATGCGCGTAACTTCGTTCAGTTTCGCTCATGAATGTTACTCCGGTTGTCTGGTGCAGGAAACAGAAATTACGTCATCCATCCTGGTTATGCCGGCAAAATTTCAGGTAAATTAACAGTGTCTCCGTATTCCCATTTGGAGAACGCATGAAAAATGTGTCGTATTTGGTCTTTGTGACCTGTATTATCCCGTATAATTTTTGCTTTGGTTTTGTGAGTCGTTTTTGCTGTCATGACAGTTCACTGGTGATGACTCAACAAGTCACTGTTTTATATTTGGGCATTTGAAACTGTGGTATGCCAGTTTTTGTGTGGTGTTCTATGGCATTATTATCGGTGCAAACCACTGAGAAACATTGACCCGTCTGTATCAGAATGGGCATCCCACCAATGTTTTATGTCGTCTGTATGGATCAAATCTGCAGTTTGAAAGGCTGATGGTAGGCCACTGATTTGGGTAGAAAATAACTACGATTAGCTCCTTGAAGTATTCCGCCTGCAAAAAAAGAACATCACAACGACCAATATGCGGTTCTGACTTAAGTGTCGTCCTTATCTCAAACCCTTTAATGTTCTGCCATGAAATGGATTTGTCGTATTGGATACTTTATTGAAGTTCATACTGATAAGGAGCACAATAAGTACCGTGGTACTCCAAGATCGTGCTGGCTCCTAAACAACGGCGGAGAATTGTGGTACAGAGATCCGAATAAGTCGTTGGATATTAGCTGAAGTGACATCTTGATTCCGTGAATTTCTAGTTTTTTTGGTCTTCGAAAATTGACTTGCCTATTCACTTTTTATTCGCATTGTTCACGCAATCATTTCACTACTTACCGTCCATGAACGCTCCATCGGCCAGAACAAGTTGAAGAATGCGTTCATAGTATTTTGTAGCTTTCTCTTCTCCAAGTAGACTCACAACTGCTTTCTCACTGGCCGTTACGTCCTCCTCTTCGTCTTCTTGTAGTGCCTAGAAGTAAGCAGAAATACTTTGTGCTTGTCAAGAAAGAAAAAAATTGACCTCTCCTTTACTGATAGTTTGATCTTACTCAGAGTACATAGCGAAGAATTATTACCGATTGGAAGAGCAGAGGAATCCAGTTATGCATAACTAACTCAGTCAAAGAACACGGCAACGATACGATGGTCTTGCACTAACCTGGATAATATTGTAGGCTTTGAGAAGCAGTTCCACTCCCAAATCCTGTTCCAGTTCAGCTCGCATTTTTTCAAGTCGAAGAAATTGAGTCTCCGTTTGAAATCCATCCTCTTTTTGATTGCTCGCTCTATCCAGTGCAGCTTTGGAACTATGCGAGTGTATGACACAAAGAGCTTGGAGCTTCTTTCTCCGAAGAGCATCGCACATACCGTCGCTATCACAGCAACGAGGCATTTTTTCATTCACAGTACCACCCAGAAAAACAAGTGGCATTTTATACTGAACTTGCTCGTCAAACACGTCTTGGTCGTCATCCTCATCGTCGTCCTCCATAATGTCACTTTCATCCGTCGAATCCATCTCCTCCTCCTCAACCTCAGTAACCCGTGCCAGTCGATATTTATGCATTAGTCGTTTCGTGCTCAGATCTTCATTTTCTTCACTATCTTCCTCGAGTTCCTCGCTAAGATCGTCGTCTGTATCGTGTTCGTTATCCGTGTACTCTGGTTCGCTCTCGACATCCGAGCAGACTTGTCCTAGCTGAAGAAAGTGTGACCTGCTGTCCTGTTCACAAGATTCCGGACAATCGTGAGCTGCAGCGAATTGGTCTGTAGCGGCCAGTGGTAAGTGTTCAGCCACATAAGAAAACTCATCGGTGAGTTCCATCGATGCTTTGTGAGAAACGAGGGGTCAGATAAAAGGGGAAAATGATTTCAAAAAGGAGACAGATTTGGTCGGAGGTTCAAACATTTAGCAGATCACAAATCACTTATTCCATTGCTTCCAATGATATTGGTTATGTTGTCTTCGTGATTTGTTGTTTATTCTGATGTTTTCTTTTGAGTTCACACATTTTGAATTAACGTTGGGTTGAAAGGACGGTTTTGTGTGTAGAACGAAAGGTGAATGGGACCCAGATGATACCACATCAACAATGCGGTGTCAGCTAACACACTCTCTTCTGATTACTCTTCACCGAAATAAATGCGGTCCAACACCACTCCTCAAAATGTTACTCTCAATCCACTGGACAGCCCACGTTTGAGCTACGTTTTTTCTCAAATACCTGTATTATTTTGTCACGTACATTATCTGTAAGGTAGGAAAATAGTCGTTTGCTCTTCACCGGTTGTCTTCTCCGTCTGATGTGTCATAGGAAAGTGTCAGTCATAGTTTTGCTGATCTGGTAGTTATGTAACGAGGGTAGTTATGGCTACTGGTATCCGTGAATCTCGTTTATCCGGCCAAAACAATTACTCGCCTGTACATTAAAGGGTTATTAGGCAACCGCTTTCAATGCACAGAATACATCTGATTTCGGCAATAGTTCTTTTAGTCATATATATTGTGTTATAATCGCATGATTAAGGGACACTGAAAACGAGCTTGCTTGCCAATTCCTAATCTCATTATGTGCTCCGTGGGACTGTTGGACTTGTCAGTAAACGATTGCAATCAGTTGCATTTTCGCTTTGTACAACCTTGACGATTTCAATCAACATATCCACGTTCCTTAATAGATAGTTAGTTAGCTTTCAAAGGGAGTAGTAAGGGTACACGAGAATCGACTGTTATCCTGAGTTAGTGAGTCTATGAGCAACGACCATTTCATGCATCATAGATTGGAGAATTACTTTTGTATCACCGCACCAATAAAGCTATTTTCTTGAATTATTCATGTGAACAGGAAAGCTAACAAAACAAAATGACTTACCAGCACGACGTGTAACTCCCGACAGTTCAGTCACACTAACACAAGAACTATCGCTGCAAGATCTGCGTCTCCTACATGGATCCAGGGAACCGGTTGAAGTGTCACATGAAATCCGCAACCGCTGAGAACGGCAGGTTAAAGTCAACGCTGTTTCAGGTCCGCAAATTTTCGGTACAATTTCACGGTCCGATCTATCCGGTTTTACATGCCTGGTAAACAGTGATGGGTTTTGTGGTGAGACGAACCCAGAAAGACTGTTAATGCTTGCTTGTCCATCGTTGGACATCATTACTTGGAGCATACTCTGACGGACCATTTCTATTTCGTCATCGCTACTTGTTGCTGTTGGACGAAAGGACTTGATGTTTGATTGACTATGGTGGATCTCGCAATCCATAGCATCAAAGTCTTTTGATCTGTGACTGTGGAAACGGAGATCGAAAGTGATACGGAAGAGAGTGCTTTAAATGAATCAACCCGCACGGTGATATAAACGGGAGAAGCGCCAGTTCACTCGGAGCCTCTTGTGAACAAGACGAGCAAATAAAATGCAAACGTTTTCATTCGGTTCACCATAAAAAGAGCATGAGGCTTATAGTAAAGTTAAAAACCACCCAGACGAACGTTTATTCTAGGCCGGTAATCAGAACAGCTGTTTATTGTGACACTTTCTTGATTACAATCCAAGCAACTTTACAGATTCGATCTAGAGGAGCTATGATAAATAGATTTTGGTGCATATCTAGCACACTGTGTCGGTGACAAGTTAATTTTTTCCACCGGTTCAGTTCTACGATTATTTCAATGATAGCCCAATAATTGTTGCAGTCGAGTTCAGTGCTACTTTGATAATTAAAGAAAGTTATTTCTGTTCATCAGAATAGCTGTTTTGCTAGCTAACCTAACTATGGAGGTAAATACTTATCGAAAAGGGAAAGTAATCCATTCATTCGCCGGTTGATGGCGGATATGATTTATAACTATGATCTATACACGATCTAATATAGGGCACCTTTGTACGCCTATTGAGGGCGACTAATCTACCTCATTTTAGCACCCGATTTCGGGCGTTTCCAATCGATCGTAAACTGCTGATTGTATTGAATCATTTGAACGATTCCATCTCACTGTGTTGGTGAAATGGGAAATTACACTGGAAGTAAATGAATAAAATCAAATTATTTTCGTGTGGTCCGTTCATATGAGTAACCGGCGAACGGAAACTTTCCAACGCGTAAGATTATTGATCATCATAAGGATATTTGAATCATTTAGAATTGATTCCGTCTTCAATAATGTTTCGCGTGGTTATTAAGCTTTGGCCCTTGTGTTCTTCCGTTCCGCCAACATTGGTTTGGGAGACACGGCTAAAGAACCCACGTGCTCCGCTGCTGCTTGCATTATGGGGTCATAGCAACATTTTAGTGAGACAACCTGTTTGCTGTGCTTCTTTGGAAGTACTAGCCTACATACCCCACGATCAATCCTGCCTAGTTGAGTCCCCATTGATATCTTGATATCTTGATATTGTTATCCCTAAATCCAGTACAGATGCCCTCTGTTGGTTTCAAAGCCGTTTGACATGTATGATATGTTGTATGAATCCATGAACATGTAACCATGTTGAGAGCGTTCCTCGTTTGTCCCATTTAGAGACTACTTCTACCATGCAGATCTCCGGAAGATTGAATTCTGTTGACTCATTAGTGGAAATCGGTTCTCGAGTGAACTGAATTCAAATTCTCCTGCTCGTCGAGCTTGGTCATTTGTTTGCAAACGTTTCGTCACCAACAGATGTGATATCCTCAGTGCTTTTGAAGTGGCGGTGTTCCGTTTGAAGTCCCAGATGATCAAAATCCTTTCGATAGCAATTCTTGTATGGTGGCAAGTACCTCCATTTCCTTCATGGGTTCCGCTTAGAGTGCACGGTAAAATAACAGCACTACTAGTGGTCGTCTTTCCAGGAAAATATTGAGCGCTATGACCTGGATGTTGGTTGTTATCAGTTTTACTGCCTACTCCCGTTAAGCATATGCGGCTTTGACTAGTAGGAGCATTCCTCTGCCCTGTCTGCCCTCCAATCTATCCTGCCTATAGGCCCAATACTCTCCTGGTCTCTTGTGGTGATCGTGTAGCGGGTACGCACGCACCGCGGTACAGTTTCCAGGT